CCCCAAAACCCCAAAACCCCGCAGTGTTGAATAAAAATCAAAATTTATAGTGTAATTAATAATTTCCATATATCTCAATATTATAAATATCTTTTCTATTGCTTATCATTACAATAAATATCTGCATTTACTAGTTTCATCTCATGTTAATCATATATATTAATCAATTGCTCGGAATTCAAGAATTTCTAGGGTTTCTGGCAGAAAATCATCTCATTACCAATCTACTTTATTGAAGATATCTTCTCCCTATATAAAACTAGTTTTATGCATTGAAATTTACCACATATTTATTTGATCAGGATATCCAGGCACACTAAAAGTCTCGAATTTTCTGTTAATATCAATCTATCCATTTGATACCTGCTGTTTCTTCAACTACTTTTTACTTTATATCAAATTCTTAATGTCATAATTATTAATTCCATCGATATGTCCTAAATTATTCATGTCAATACTCTAATGAACTATTTTCTGCTTTAAGCTCTCTGTTCTCAATTCAAGACCGTTAGAAGTAACTTGATCATCTAGATTTTTATTAAGTGTTGGAAACACTTAATCGATTGTAAGCTTCAGAGCATCATTTAACATTCTTGGAATCAAGACTTTTAGAATTGATGAACTTTCTTCAATGCAAGGATTAGTATTAGCTTCAATAAGCCAAACATTGAAATCTTTGTCGATAATATAATCATATCCAAATATTTCAAAACATTATCTTCTCTTGCTAGAGTTTAATTTTCGTTTTGCCTAAATATTTTGATCGAATATGGAATATTTACAGATTCAATGGACAAGGCAGCATAATATTTCATCTTAGGTAAGATATCTTAATCAAAATCGCATTCAAGTTTGTTATCAGTTATATATCTCCTAAAATCTCCAAATGATAACTAATTGCCATCCTCATGTTACCCATAATTTGGGGCATTTTTCTATACTGCATTATTAGTTAAATGAATGTAATCATTGTCAAATCATTTTTTTCTGTCGTATATTCACTGCTGGAAGTCCTTAGGTAGCCCTCTCTATTTAATATTACGAAATCTAAATTACCTGAAGAAATAAACTTCCTATTCCTAGGTAATTAAAACCCAAACTCTGATATCAAATTTCCGTTTGTTGATGAGGAAAGGATCTTCAATATATTTCTGAATGATAAAACTGTTATGCTTTAATAGAGGTCCTCTAATATCATTTTAACATTTTTCTACTTTAACTTTTATAGTAATGATGAGGTTAATCGTTTATCTAATTAGTTAGCTCATCTAATTTTTATTCAATGGGAGTTTATTTCAAAGGGCTTTCTATTTCTCATCCTTTAAAATAATCTCTGATTAGTTTTTTAAGCTTCTTAAAGGTGCTAATTACATGAATTCCTTTTCCTCTATTTAAACTTGTTGGCTTAAGAATCCATACATTTTTGCCTTTAAAATGACATAATGGCAAAATATGATCAGATTTTTGTGACAATTCTAATCTTTGTGCAGTTGATGGTTGCTAGAATAACTATCCAATGATTGAAAATTGAAATATGTACCTTGCTTGTAAACATCTTTTGTCTTTGAAATAAATGTGACTAAATTCTGCTATATTCTATTCTAATAGCTAGCCAATTGAATGGGATCAGTGATTTCACTATCGAATTTGTCTTAAATTCCTCCATTATAGATGCTGCTATTTTAGGCTGTACATTGGTTTTTCCATGTTTATCTTTAAAAAGAAAGTCATAGGTGTAATCTGAAAAACATTTTCATTGCAATCCTATAAATTTTAGAAATTTATAATTACCTCTAAGTGATTTTCCAAATTTTTAAAGAGCTCATGCTTTTTATAAATTTCATTATGTCCCTCTAAATGATTGGTCATTAGGTTGAAACTTCAAAATTTACTTATTTAGAAACAGGTGCCCATCTAAATTGAAAATGACCCTAAGTAATATTTGGATGTTCTTGCCAGTACTAAGATCTTTCAGTTGCTAAAATAACTTTCCTTACTAGCTAAGAATTATTGCCTGGCATTATTTGAAACTATTATTGAAGTTGATTTAATTTATAAATTACCTTATAGCTCTTGTGTTCTTCCCCAAAGGTTAGAGTTAATTAGTTTTATTGGTATCATAGGGATATTTTGAGGTGTGTATATCATGAATATATGCATGAGTCATAAGTGGCCTCATTTTCAAATCAAAGGGTCTTGAAAACTTTTTCCTCAACAAATAAACATCTTAATAGTTCCTATATTCAGATTGAGCTGATTTCAGAGATGAGATATTCTAAATACCTAGAGTGCTTTTTAAGTTCTCTAGATTTTGATAAAACTCTGGAAGTGTTTGCCATTGAGATTTTATGTTTC